CCCAGTGAGGTATACAGCTTGGGGGAAAAAGATGGCAAGTAAATTTCACCCGAGAAAAAGCAAATATGATCGTTCTAGGCCCATGATTTTAAGCTGGTGAGTAGTAAGGATGAATGGGCGATGTTGGCCCCTGGAGAAGGGGGTTGATACCCTTGGGGTGAAATTTGACCCCAAAACCCTAACCATGAAAAAACCATGTTGTAAATTTTTTGCAAAAAAAGGGCCCGGCCCGGGAAAAGCTTACAGCATTTTTCCCCGTATCTGGGCATCTGCTGACAGTAGGGGTTGCAAGATCCTGTACGAGGCACAGTACGCTCACACCTTGAGTTGCTCCACTTTCTTGGTTTGCCTGCCCCCCCTCTCATCTGCGACTGACTTGACAGAGTAGAGAACAGAGCAAGACGTCTCATCTCTCGCCTGGACCCATCCTGGATTAGATCTGTCATTTTCAGCAGAGCCTTCAACATAGGAGGGATGTGGGTGGCCTTACTGTTATGTACAAGGCCAATATTGTCAAAATACCACACTTGGATCCACTTCGAGGACAGCGTGAAACAAGCTTTTATGCCACAAGACGGGCAGAAAGCAGCAACTTCACTCTGGCGTACCCTTCTCCAGAACATCACTCCATCTGAGATCATACATACCCAGGATGACTCGAGTATGGAACACATTCGTACAGCATAATGATGTCAACGAGATAACGTCAGTTGATCAAATGAAAATGCTGGCCCACAGATGGCTCCAACTTCATCCTGTTCCCTACTTGTATGTCTCATAACAATAAAAATGCTTTCAAATGAGCTGATGTAGGTAACAGCTCTTAGCTTGCCAATAAAGTTAGGAATCCTTAACCTGTAAATAGCTGTCAATAAAGCTAGGGATCCTTAACCTTGTCAAACCCTGTGTAAAAAAAAAAAAAAAAAAAAAAAAAAAAAAAAAAAAAAAAAAAGAGAGAGAATGAAAATAAGAGAAAAAGGTTGGACCAGACCAGAGGGAAGCGCGCACGAGCACACAAATTACTTGGCTAAAATTTTTAACTTGTCTTTACACGCCAGTAAAAACTTACAAAATTATTAAACATAACTGAATTTACTGTGGTTATCGGGGAGTGCAGATACAAGTGTAAGAAAAGGCAATGTGACGTAGCAAGGAGTTACGCAAGACGAGTGTGAACAAGTCTTACAGGTAAAGAACGAGACAGATGCGAGCCAGCACGTATGAATGAGGAAGAATGAAGGCCGCCACACGTAAAATACAAGAGGGAACCAGAGTGAAGCAGCACTCTTCTAATCGATCCACTTGTATTACTCTGCAGGTACACTAAACTCCAGGAAAGCTAATACATATTACTAATCAGATTAACTCAGTAAACCAGAGTGACGTTACTACATGCTAGAATGAACTCTTAGAGGAGGAAGAATTGAGACAGCGAGAGTGGTAACACAAAGAGCGAGACACTGACATGATCTGTAAGGTTATGTTTTGCCAACAGTGAGTGTGGAGAATCAAAACATGATGAAATAACTGTAGTGAATAAGAACAAAACACTGAGAACGACTTGCTGAACTAGATGTGATACACGCAGTGAAATTTCAGTGGGTGAAAGGTTGGAAGGAGTGGAGGGGTAAGTGAGGGAGAGGGAGGATTTAAGTTAGCGAGAGAATCCAGTGAGGTTCACCACGGCTTAAAAATCCAAGAAATACGGATTGCAGGGATTACAGAGCAGTATACAAGGGTGCAGCCCCTCTCAGATGTGACAACAGATGTAACAACTGCACTAAGATGCTCTCACCCACCTGTGTTCAAACTGTGTTTACAGGATACCAGTGTCCTCTCTGGGAGATAGTCAACAGTTATTTTTACTCGTTTGTAGTGGCTTATGAGTAAATTTTTCAACAACTTGCACACCACAACCACCACTCCCATAATCATCACACTGAGAAGAATTTATAGGGTAAAGAGATGAATCCACGGGCCAGGAGCGGGGAGACACTGATGGAAGCTTAAATAATTCGTCACATGGACCTTATAAACAACCTGGCTTATCAGGTCCAGATCCACCGGGAGGCCTGGTCAAGGACTAGACCGCGGGGACGTTGACCCTTACCCCCGGAACACCCTCTAGGTAGGCAGGTAGTAAGGAAGTGAACGAATTGGATACGGAAGGAGACAACCCGCATACAGAGTTTTACGAGTGGGTATGAAGGGGTTCAGACATCAAAAACCAGTAATGTCGGTCGATGAAGCTTAAGTAGCAAGTCAGGAAACCAAGACTATCACATCAAACAAATGGCTTAGTATACACAGAGGTGAAAGAAACTACGAATACCGCTAAGGATAGAACTTTCATAAATATTAAACTTATTTATAAGTGTGTGCCAACTGCATAACATCAACAGAGTATACAAAAGGAAAGACATTAAATTTAATGATTACTTAGAACAAACTATGTCATAGCATTGCCATAACTTTATTCTACATACACTACCTTAAAACATACCAACTGAAGAATGGAGGAAATTAAAAAAAAGATCGGCGTACAAGACGAATTCTAATCACTAAAACGAAAGTTTGGGAGAGACCTTGGAGTTTTCACAAGATCATGTTCAAGACGTACATCCATGTTATTATCGTAGCTGCAAGAAAAATTATAGGTAGGATAACTAAACCTTCAAAACAAGAGATGACAAGCTAATGATGATACCCTTTAGGTCACTCGTTCTCTCTCTGCGCTCGAACAATCTTCTTGTGTACTAACGGTCCTCTTCAAGGCAGGCAAAACTGCCGAGTTGGAAAATAAAGAGACCCTTCAAAGTTCGTATAAACCAAATAAAACACCTAAATTGCTGGAATAGCTTAAGGTTCCTAGATATGTATTCCTTAGAACGTAGGCGAGAAAAATACATTATAATCTACTTCTGGAAGATACTGGAGGGATTGGTCCCAAGCCTGCATTCCGAAATTACTGCTAATGAACACAAGAGGCTTGGCAGACGGTGCAGAATACTTCCAATGAAAAGCAGGTGGAGCTATGAACACAACTTCGAAGGTGTAAAGGGACCACGACTCGATGCCCTCCCTTCACGCATAATGGGGATTACCAATAAACCCACTACTATTCAAGAGGGAACTAAACAGATTCCTGAAAAAAGTTCCTGATTAGCCAGATTGTAGGGCATGTTTGACTGTGGGTGGCGGGCACTAACAGCTGGATTGATCAAGCAACCAAGAGGCCTGGTCTAGGACCGGGCCACGAGGGTGACGACCTCCTGAAGAGACCCCTGTTAAACAGGCCCTGATCCATCGGGAGGCCTGGTCATGGACCGGGCTGCGGGGGCGTTGATCCCCGGAATAACCTCCAGGTAGCCAGGTAACCCAAGTAATGCAATATTTAAATGCTTCCTTTAAAGACCACAACATTAAATTATAAGACTAATTTAATCACCTGAAGGTATTCCCAAGGTTCTGGCAGACATCTAGTCGTATACAAGCCTCGGCTTAATGTAAAAACCAGAAGCTGTGGGGAGGAAAAAAAAAAGTTAGTGAGCCAGTCATCAGCACACAAGTTGCAGTGAAGCAGGATGCTTCCTCCACAGGTGTCAATGGGTGAAGTGTACCAAGTCTCTTCAATTTTCAGTGAACAGTCTCAAAGTGAAATAATGTGGGGTCAAATACCCTCAACCTGCAGGTTAGGTTAGGTAAGATTCGTCAGGAAACAGGACAACAGTTTCCTGACGTGGGTCATATGATGACCCACAGCTGGAGCTTTTGGTCATCTGACCGAGGTTGCTGTGGGTAAGGCCCTCCGAGACAGCCACTTCCCAGCCGTGACAGCCCCGAGGTCAATGATGCTGGTCTGCTATACATCCAGCTTTACATGGCAAACATTCACCTCTGAATCTGGTTGTTAATTACTAAAGACAATACACAGAGGGAAGACATGATTACGACAAAATCTTAGAACTTAATAGGGCGGATAGGTACAGAGTGAATTAAGAAGACCAGGAACAAGGGAACACAAGTGGAAGCTGAAGACAGATGGGCCATAAGGATGTATGAAAGTATTTAAGTTAAAGGATCGTTAAAAAGCGTAATGACTTGGGCGAAGGAATGGTGGAGGCAAACAATTCACAAGTATAAAGGCAATCACCATAATGACCCAACGTAAATACCACCAAAATTAGTATTATCTCTTCATAATCACTAACGCTACCCTCTACAATGACCACTACTCCACAATCATTACTTCCACAATTATCACCAGCCCCATTCCACCACGACAATCACCATCACTTTCCCCTCCACAATCACCACTCATCCCCATTAATCACCATGGCTTACTACCTAAACAATTCCTACCTACAAAATCACTATAACGACGACCACAACAATTACTCATCACTATCACCAATGAAAGCCCAATCTCTACAATCACTATCACCACACAATCACCTTGTGTAAACTACCATCATTATCTCCGTCAGCATTCGTCACACTCGCTACCTAACATAGTTGATATGGATCAGTATTATAAAGTTAATACCTTAAATAACACACTACAGACGTTCGTGTTACAAGTTACACGTCCTGTGAGGCAAGACAGTGCTGTCAACACTTACTGTTACCTCGTGTACATTCCCAGTCAGGGTCTCTCAAACTGTTATAGATTACGGGCAATAATATCAGCCACAAAGGAAATAAATCTCATTGTTTGTCATTGTTGGGTTATTTTTGATCAAAATAATACTCTACCATCAGTATCATGATGAAAATATTTTTAAAACGGTCTGTTAAACATACCTATGTAAATATAACCATAATACTTACTTTTTATGGGGAAGTAAGACTGTCAAACTTCAGGGGTTCATAAAATCTATAATTGTAGTGTAATATACTAAACTAATAGTGTAGTTACTTCGTTATCTTTGTAGTGAATTATGACTATTAACATTGGTTGTAATATGAGTGTTTAAACATATAAAGGTAGGGGTACTCACCTCACTGTGGGAGATGGGCAGTGTTCGTCCACTATGCTGTGAACCCACCAGGACACAAAGCCTCCAGTTAAGAAGGGAGTGTCGTGAACAGGTGGGTCCTAAGCGTAGATCAGAGGTGGTGGTGCGCGATCTCGTAGACGACGCAACGTGGAACCAACCTCCAGGGTGTTCGCTCGATGCTGAAGGAGTCGTAATAGAGGTGCCGAAGAGCAGAATGGGGGTATGGAGGAGATGCCAGAGCTTCCCTCCAGTGTGGTGGAGGAAGGGATAGGGAGAGGTGGAGGCACTCTTGACAGAATACACAATCACCGCTTCACAAACTGACTGCCAAGCCGTTGTCACTTACCATTTTCTTCAGTTTTCTCGTTCAGGGCAGGAATGCTGTTAGTGTCATGGAAGTAATTTCTAGAGCTTTTACTAACTTGGTCTCTGCATAACCAGCGCTCCATCTCTAGTGATTATTATACCTGTGGTTCACCTTGGCTCACTAGGCGAGGCTTGAGGAATGGTGGTGTGTTTGGGCGTGGTGGCGACTTCTGGTAACTGTGTCCAGAATTGACCAATAATGAAATAATAATACTCCTTTGGCTAATGTAAACGGACACTGTTGTGTGGCTATGGCCTGGAGACTCGTTACTGCACTACACACAAATCATGTACATATCACAAGGGCGGTGACGCTGCGGTTAGCACAAGCAGCAGCAATAACATCAGCAGCAGCGATAGCAGCACCTAGGAGTTGTACCTCCTGCTGCAGCGTCAGCGCCGTTGCATTCTGCTTTTCCTGCTGCTGTTACTACTGCCGCCACGACTGGCCTGATTCACAGTCTCTGGTGGAGGGTGAGCAGTGTGGGGTCAGTCTAGTGTCCTGGTGGGGGCGCCGTAGTGGGGCTCGCCCACCCCACCAACCACAGCGTCACCAGTGTTTACTCTTGGCACTAACGGACCCGGAGGGGCTCGAACCCGTGGGGCCCGGGTACGCACGTGCATTAAGCACACTGCAACCACCCGCACGTGCACGTGTAGGGCTGTGGCGGCGCGGGCGCGGGCACGATAGGGGCGTAGTAGTAGCCATTGCTGTAGATAACGGGCGGAGGAGGGGCTATGTGCACGTCGTAACTGCTACTGCTGCTAGAGCTGCTACTGCTGCTGCCGCTACAGTGCTGCTGCTTGACGTAGAGGCGCTGTTGCTCGGTGTAGAAGACCTGACATGCCAGCTCGTCTATGAGATTTAGTGTCTGGCGTCTCTCATGACCCATTAGACAGACCGTAGACTCGTCAACCACTCTGTGAAGCACCATCAAGTACTCGTAGCGTAGAGATTCATCAGGACCCACGAAGTGGTTCCACAAATACGCCTCCAGCTTAGACTGTTGCTGGGTCACATCGGGGAAGTCGATGAAGAAGCGAGAGCACATATATCTCTCCAGTGTTTTGATCTCCTCGGGTCGAGCGGGCTCGTAGTCCTTAACGAGCAGGTTACAGTATTTTAGAAGGCCTCCCCCACGGATTTCCTCTGGGTTCTTAGTGGCTATTAACTTCTTCTGCAGGTGGTAGAGTGCCTCGGGGAAGTCACCGTAGACGCTCTCTCCGACCACAGTAGGGTAAAAGTTCTCGCTAATGGGCATCTCTGCGCACTCGTAGAACAGGAGCAGCGAGTCTAGAACGATCTGGAAGGAATCTACAGAAAACTCAAACTGTCTCTTCATGCTGTCTACGAACTTGAGTTCGACGTTTCTGCCGCCGTTGTTGGAGAGCGAGATGAGAGACCAGCGGTCAGTATCGTTGACTTTGACCATCTTGTTAACATACCCTTCCTTCATGGAGCAGGAAGACATTCGCTTCTTGCTCACCCCCTCCGGCAGGAAATCCAGCAACACCTCCAACACTGCGTTCTTCACCCTGTCGTAGTTCCTAGGCGTACAAAGGTCAACGGCAAAGATGAGATCAAGATCGTTATAGGCCTGGTCGCTGTCTGTGGCTAAGATATGCGAGGCGGCTCCACCGTTGATGCGTATGTCTCTGACAGTCATGGAGTCTGCCTCCAGCTTGCTCCTTACCATGGAGACCAGGTCTCTCAGCCGAATCTCCAGCGTGGGGAAGTTGCCACGACCATGAATGGGTACCACCTCGTGCAAGACGTCGTTCAGTTGTCTAACTTGGTCGTAGCTCAACACAGCAAACCGTTGGTCGTCCATATTGACGTTAACAAGCCCTTCCATCTTGAGGCGGAGTCGCTCCTGAGTCAGGGCCAGACTGCCGCTCTGTGAGGGGGCAGAGAGGCGAAGAGTGAGTTGAGGTAGAGCCTTGAGTAAACAGCCTATTAAAAAGAGCGAATGGTGGTGTGTGCGTGTGCGTGTGTTGCTAGCCCTGCCAGGTCCTCGCTCCACAACAGCCACTAGTCAACTGACAAGTGGGTTGGTGTGAGCATGGGTGGTGAGGGGTAGCAGGTGGCGGGAGTGCGGCGACCACTACGTCACCACCAACACACATACACGTACACACCACAGCTCCAACTGACTGAACCAACACACTCACCTACCAATCTGGGTCCTGGGTGGACCACCATACAGGTTCATTGCACCATACAACATGCATTCACTGGCCTATTGGAATGCTATTAATGTAAACATGAGAATATTCGGAGGGGGGGGGGAGGGGTTGTATTTACACATTTATAAGGAATAGTAAAAGTGCCTGACCTAAATATTTTGGATGCTTAAGTGATTATCTAAATCCTTCCATAGCAATAAAACAAACAAACCTAAACCACAAATTGTACTGTGTGAAGGCCTTATAGAAAACTAATTTACAAGGTGGATATTACATACAGCGCCTGAGGGAATGGGATTCGATCTAAAGAAAGGGAAGACAGATCCAATCCCTTTAATCAAGACCCCCCCCACCAGCATCAAGGCACTCCCGTTGAGGGGGCTGAGCCAGAAAATCAGGTTGGGGAGCAGGAGGAGAAGGCCGGGGACACCCTCCCCTTCCCTGGGGGAAAGGAATACCTGATAAACAAGACAGAAAAGAATGTAACAAGGACAGCGAAGAATTGACTAACAAGGAGAGTTACTCTCTGATAACTTAAGAGACAAGGTAAGTACAGTTAGGTAGCATGTTTGTCTTCCATTAGAGACGGAGGATCAAGCCTCCACCTCACTGAATGATCACCACGGATTTGGAACTTTCTTTTAAACATTTTAAAAACTATACGATTAAAAACAGTGTTGTCTTAGATCCTTCATTTTTTTATACAAACTTCCTGTGGGCAATTACCGCCACATATCGCGGTTTACTTATTATAAAACTATTAAAACAGAGACCTTATAGACAAGTACCGGCCAAGTGAACTTAAATAGTAGGAGGGGCCAGAAGCTACGACTCAAAGCTACAAACACAATAAGCAAGTGAAATAATGGTTTAGAATGACACGTGAGCAAACACCTGGGCATTTACCTCTAATATACGTTTGATAAATTTCGAGAGTTTCTACACCCAGAGTCCGGTCATGGGCCAGGCTCGTCTGGTGCTAGCCTGGTTAACCAGGCTTCCTCTTGAAGACTTCTACACTTCTTTCAACAGTGTTTGTTATTTTCTGGCAAGATGTTGAATAATTTGGGGTCACGAATATTGTTAGTATTCCCTTGTGTCCACCGCACCCCTGCTTTTCACTGGGTTTATTTTGCATTTCTATCTCTCTCGCTCTAGTATGTTATGGCAGTGTGCAGATTTGGGACCAGGCCCTCGAGTACTTTCCAGGTATGTATTATGCATCTATCTCTCTCTCTCTCTCTCTCTCTCTCTCTCTCTCTCTCTCTCTCTCTCTCTCTCTCTCTCTCTCTCTCTCTCTCTCTCTCTCTTCCACTCCAGTGAGTAATGAAGACTAACGTGTTCCCAGTAATTTAAATGCTTTACTGGCTCTATGCGGGCCGTAAGCGATCTATTCCAGCTCTGATATTTCTCTTGCCCAGAAAGGGGCCATCAACACTGAGCAATATTCAAAATGAGGGAGCACTAGCTATTTGAAAACTGTCACCAGTGGCATTACTTCCCTCGTTTTGAAAGTTCTCATTATCCACCCCGTCATCCTCCTGGCTGTCGTGACCTTGGTCTTATTGTGTCCTTTGAAAAAAAGGTTAGCCGACATAATTATTCCCAAGTCTTTCCCATGTTCCTTTCGTTCTATTTGTCGTGAGTTTAGTATACGCTGTTCCTTAGAAAACATTTCGGTCCTAGGACCTTGATCACGATTTAATATATCCTAGGGCTTGCTCACTTGTCTTTCTAAACCAGTTTGTCGGTGTCCAATACCAAGGTTTGTACAAGTGAATTAATAACCTACTTAAGCGTAAGGAGTGAGCACGTGGAATGTATTAGGGAGACTGTGTGCAGCAAACAAACAGCCTCACTGATCAGGGTGGCAGTAGCGAGGCCTGGCCTGGGACCGGCCCGCGGGGGCGATGATCCTCTGAACCATCAAGTAACCGGGGTGTGTGTATGTGTGTTTTATAAATATATATATATATATATATATATATATATATATATATATATATATATATATATATATATATATATATATATATATATATATATATATATATATATATATAAACTTGTCGAGGCTCGGGGGGCATCAGAGTGGTCGTTAAGTGTTAAACAGAAAAGAAAATATATCGTAGCCAACACTTGTTTGTCAGTCAGATTAGTGGTTTCCAGGAGCAAAAACTGTACCCCCCCCCTCCAACACTTATTTAAATGCTCGCGCAGAGAGAGAGAGAGAGAGAGAGAGAGAGAGAGGAGAGAGAGAGAGGGAGAGAGGAGAGAGAGGAGAGGAGAGAGGAGAGAGAGAGAGAGAGAGAGAGAGAGAGAGAGAGAGAGAGAGAGAGAGAGAGAGAGAGAGAGAGAGAGAGAGAGAGAGAGAGAGAGAGAGAGAGAAGAGAGAGAGAGAGAGAGACAGAGACAGAGACAGAGACAGAGACAGAGACAGACAGAGACACAGACAGACCGAAAGATGGAGGTCTTTCAATGCATTTACAGTTTAATCCGTATATTAGGTATACAGCAGTAGCCCAGAACCAACCTGCTGTATAAGCGGGACCGTCCTGTACAGCAGTAGCCCAGAACCTAACCTGCTGTATAAGCGGGACCGTCCTGTACAGCAGTAGCCCAGAACCTAACCTGCTGTATAAGCGGGACCGTCCTGTACAGCAGTAGCCCAGAACCTAACCTGCTGTATAAGCGGGACCGTCCTGTACAGCAGTAGCCCAGAACCTAACCTGCTGTATAAGCGGGACCGTCCTGTACAGCAGTAGCCCAGAACCTAACCTGCTGTATAAGCGGGACCGTCCTGTACAGCAGTAGCCCAGAACCTAACCTGCTGTATAAGCGGGACCGTCCTGTACAGCAGTAGCCCAGAACCTAACCTGCTGTATAAGCGGGACCGTCCTGTACAGCAGTAGCCCAGAACCTAACCTGCTGTATAAGCGGGACCGTCCTGTACAGCAGTAGCCCAGAACCTGTGTTGTACAAGTGGGACCGTCCTGTGACCCTTAACTGGTGAAGAGGATACTTGCGGCTTGACCCTCGTTATTTAAAAACTTACAAACCAATCACGATAATATTTTTGTTGTACGACAGCTGAACAATGAATTTGTTTAAAAGAAATGCGAAACAAAAGTGGTTGAACAACACGTATTTAAAATACTGAAAATATCAGACTACAGAGTGAGCTAAATGTCGAGCTTTCCCGGGACCGGTGCAAGATTTTCGGGGAATTTTGCTAGCTTTTCCGCGATTGGTGCCAGCTAGAAATCTAGCAAGGGTGAATGTGTTATATTCAAGGGGGAAAAGCGCTAAACCCACAGAGATCATATATTACCTGCGGAATGAGAATCAGACTGGATGGAAGAGGAAGGGGGGGGAGAGGTACAGTTCCTTGGATCAAGAGCCCCTCACCGAGCTGACAGCGAAGATTTAATAAATACATGTTAATTAATCCTCACTTATAATAAATTATGTAACAAATAATTAGACAATTTTAATGTATACAGAACAAGGTTGAACCTAAATTTCTTAAAATATTTGTTGAAAATTAAAAAAAAAAATCAGGAACTAATGAAAGGAAGGCGAATACAGCGCGCGCGCGCGCTCACACACAGGTGAAATATGAACTAAGCTGGCAGACAGCATAGGCTGTGTGCAGACAGTACAGGCTGTCTACAATACAGACACCTCACACACACACAGGTGAATACAGACAGCTCTCACAAAGGTGAATACAGACACCTCACACACACACACAGGTGAATACAGACAGCTCTCACAAAGGTGAATACAGACAGCTCTCACAAAGGTGAATACAGACACCTCTCACACACACACACACACACACACACAGGTGAATACAGACACCTCTCCACACACACACACCACACACACACACACACCAACAACACCACAGGTGAATACAGACACCTCACACACACACAGGTGAATACAGACACCTCTCACACACACAGGTGAATACAGACACCTCACACACACACAGGTAAATACAGACACCTCACACACACACAGGTGAATACCGACACCTCACACACACACAGGTGAATACCGACACCTCACACACACACAGGTGAATACAGACACCTCACACACACACAGGTGAATACAGACACCTCACACACACACAGGTGAATACAGACACCTCACACACACACAGGTGAATACAGACACCTCACACACACACAGGTGAATACAGACACCTCACACACACACAGGTGAATACAGACACCTCACACACACACAGGTGAATACAGACACCTCACACACACAGGTGAATACAGACACCTCACACACACAGGTGAATACAGACACCTCACACACAGGTGAATACAGACACCTCACACACACAGGTGAATACAGACACCTCACACACAGGTGAATACAGACATCTCACAAAGGTGAATACAGACACCTCACAAAGGTGAATACAGACACCTCACAAAGGTGAATACAGACACCTCACACACACACAGGTGAATACAGACACCTCACACACACACAGGTGAATACAGACACCTCACACACACACAGGTGAATACAGACACCTCACACACACACAGGTGAATACAGACACCTCACACACACACAGGTGAATACAGACACCTCACACACACAGGTGAATACAGACACCTCACACACACAGGTGAATACAGACACCTCACACACACAGGTGAATACAGACACCTCACACACA